GGGTTTTAGGCTTAAGGGGTTAGGGTGCCCGATTCCTGAAGCATTTTTTTTTGTGGGGTAGTGCTGGCGGCTTTACACATAGCATGTGGCGGGGCTCCTCTGCTCAAGACGTTCCAGTGGGCAATGGGCGGAAGGGCTCTAATACAAAGTGACTCTGTGAGAAGTCTCCGCGCAGTAGATTTTCTTAAGTCTACACTTGTCAAAACATTGCCCTCGGAGGCCCCGCACGGGTTAGGGGCTTTGCTCAGAGGGGCCATAGAGGGCATAGTGTATAGGGGTTCAGGGCCTAGAGGAGTAGAGTTTAGGGTGTGTGCAATGACGTGAGGTACCCATGGCCCAGACCCTTAAGTAGATCGAGGAACCAGAGCCTCATAAGGTTTCCTAGAAATCTCAAATTAGTAATATGGGGTACCATTTGGAGGTTGTACTGTCTAGATCTCCCATTGGTATCACAAGTTGTGCAGTAGACCCAAACAAGCATTCCTGCCTCGGGATGTAAGGAGTCGGACGTTTGGGAAGAGCCTGCCGACGGCAAGGTGGCAAGGGTGGCTATTTATTGCTAGGGTGTTGAACCTCAAGTGCTTAGACTTGGGTAGCTGGACTTTCATGTATGTACACTCTCCATATCCATCACGGACTATTGGACTGTTGATGCAACTCTGCATAGAATTCCATGCTTTCATGGTGGGGGCTTCAACTCATGAATACCGAACTCCGAATGCCATCCCCAAGCAAAAGTTTCTTAAAGTTCTATCCTCATGGCGTAAAGATGAGTACGCGCAAGAAGGGCATCTCTGACCCCTAGGCATTTCAATCTTAAGGTCCTACCCTGATTCTGTAAGCTTTTTACACCGGCATTAGCCAGGAGAAGGGTGTGGGCTCAGGAGCTTCGGGATCTATATGGTAATAAGATCCCCATATACCCCATATTCTATTCACTGAAGGGGACTATAAACCTTCAACCCTAAGTTTAGGTTTGGGGTCTGGGCTCTGAACCCTAAACCCTAAGTCCAGGCTTTGGGGTTTAAAGTCTGCGGAGGTTTTTAGACAACCACCTCAAGGGCTGAAACTGCGCCTGAGGGCCAGGGTGTAGGGTTCTGGGTATGTTGGGGTACCCAGATACTGGGCAAATTTTACCCAAAGTAGTAGGAAATTAGGGGAAAGTAGAAGATGATCATGGGCTGCCGGGGATTTTGGTGCTCGTGTTGAGGCTGGTGAAGCACGACGGCTCCAAACCGCAGAAGCCTGAACTCTTGAAATCTTTGGGGGTTGTGGGCTTGGGGTTTTCAGGGTTTGGGTTTAGGGTTTCAACATCCACCTTTCAATTGTGCCTGATGGCGACCTCCGAAATCACCCATTGGGACCACAAGGAAGAATGGTGATTATGCTTGGGTCCCTAGATATGGGGGTTTCCTAAAATTAGGGGTACCTTTTTGGGGGTCCCTATAATAAGGACTATAGTATTTTGGGTTCTATATAGGGGTCCCCCTATTTTGGGAAACTACCATATTGCTTTGCAATCATACCTATTTGGGGTGGGAATAGCTGAGGGTTTCTTCATACCCTATCGAGACCTTACATGAAATCCAAAGCGTTGGAAGCTATGTATGTGAGTGTGTACGGTGCGTCCTTTCAGGCGCGAACTGGGGCAAAGTTGGCTGTTGAAGATTTACTTACACAACCCACCGTACCATGCCAAGATGTGAGTGGAACCCTAAGCCCTGAACTTACTGGGGGCCAGTGGGGAATACAGGAACATAGAAAAAGGGACCATGCGGGGATTATATTCCCTTAGTCCCTACTAATCCTGACTAGCTCTAAGTCAAGCCCTGCAGAATGCCGGAGCTTGATGTTGACAAGCCAGCCAAGCCCAATCCCGAACCCCCTAAACTAAACCCTAAACCGTAATCTCTCCATACTTCCCAGGTGAGCTCAGTGTGTCGGCCCCTAGGGCTCCCTACCCTGAGCCCTAAACCCAATAGTCCCCAGGCATTTGGGGTTTAGTTTTGGCCCAGGTTATCCCGAAGCTATCCCCAGTATAGTGCACTAGAACCTCTTACCATTTAAAAGAGCCTCTTGCCATTCAAAAAAATATATCAGAATGTGTTGGGATATAGTCCCCCTTAAGTAGATAGAATATGAGGTATATGGGGATCTTATTATAATATACCCAAAGCCATATTCTATCTACTTAAGTGGGACTATATGTTTAAAACATTTGGTTTGGTCCTACGAACCCTCAACTGAGCAGCTTAAGCGGCTTAGCACCTAATCCCGTCAACTCCTCCACCTTCTAGGGACCCCTGTAAAAACGGTAAAATTTTATTAAGGTTTAGGGTGTAGGGTTTAGGGCTTAGGGTTTAGGGTTTAGGGCTTAAGGTTTAGGGCTTAGGGTCTAGGGCCCAATATTAAAAAACCCTAAGCCCGCTACCCGAAGCTTCAACCCTCAGACCCTAAACCCTTGTACTTGAACCCTACATCCTAAGAAAACGCTACACGCTACTGGAAGTCAGGGGGTCTTAGTAAGTAGGTTAAAACAGGTATAAGGCACATAATAACCCCAAGTATTTCCACTAGCAACCTACTTACTAAGTCCCCGTGACCCTAAGCCCTCAACCCGAAATACTATAGTAGTTTCCATTTTCTTTTCCTTTATTACTATAATTATTAACCTACTTAATAACCCTAAACCCTCAACCTTTGCAACTGAGAGCCCCAACAGCTCTGAACCCAGACTCCTGGGAGGATCTAAAAATTAGATCCCCTATATAGACCCATTCTAACCCCTATATAATCCTTATATAATTTCCCATATGGTTCTAGGGGATCGAATTTTTAGATCCCTTTGGGCGTCTGGGAAGGTGAGCAACACGGTGCTGGACCACGCGGAGGAGGCCCTCCGGCGCTGCTTTGAGAAGACAAA